TTGCACAAGGTCTTTTTTAGGTGAAAACTACCATTTAGGCTCCGTACCTCGAAAACTTTTTTGGGGTCGGATGGGCTAGTGGCGGGGCGGCGCAGAGTCTACTGCGCATGCGCAGTTCGCAGGTTGAGACGGATCCAGAAGCCGCTCGGCCGTTCCGTTTCCGCTGCTTGGGTTACCCGAAATACCCTATTGAGCAAGCGACCTGAAATTTTCAGGGTCGTTTTGTGTTATAAAAAGACAGATCGACTTCGAAGTTGAACATTCTAGCTCAAAAATTGGCTTTTAAAAAAATCAAAAAGTACAGGTCGCAAAATGTAGTTTTATCAAATATTCTTCCATGGGTTCCTAAGAGGTAAATCGTTAAAGTAGAGCTCTAAGGATGAAAATTTCGTCCGTTTGGCTCTATCTTGTACCGTTTAGGTGCTAGGGGGCATTTCTTGACGAAAATGAGGTGAAAATGATCAAATGGTCGATTAAATCGTTAAACTAGGGGGCATTTTGTGGCGAAAATGAGGTGAAAATGATCAAATGGTCGATTAAATCGTTAAAAAGACTTCATTTCGAAAAATTGTATGTACACTCCTATTACCCCGTCTCGGGTGTCAGCGCCGCAGGCCTAGCTATATGTGCGCCAGGCGCGTCGCAGCGTAACAGTGTTTCGTGAGATTTCGCGAAGCCTGTTACGCGAGACGTGGTCTGGCGTACATATAGCTAGTATTATGGTGCATGAGTCAAGCCTGCAGGTGACAAATACTGGATAGAGGTTAGATTGGATATAGTTAGTTGATTTAACTGCATAATGCATACAATGGGAAAACTGAATGAAAACAGTGGGAGAGGTGGGGCATTTTCGCCCATACACATTTACTGACAATCTATTTGCTTGTGTCTCTGATCCGTTCCGCCACCACCTGACACTTATTGAGAAAATTAATGGTGAACTAGTTAAAAGCAAGGATCGTAAGCGGTGGTGAGTGCATTCTTTAGGTTATATACTTTATTTTAGTGGACGCCTCTTCCAACCGTTAAGGTTATGAAATCTGATCATTTTGTTACCTCGGTCATATATGTGCGAGAGGTTTAAGGAAATGTCAGGGTCAAAAGTATTTCTTTTTGTAGTGACTGAAAAAGTGAATTTGAGAACTCGACCCGGTTGTTTTTAATAGCTACAACAGTTAGCTGCACCAAAATAATAATGGGACCACTTCTAATCATAGGAAATAAAAGTAAATTGCAATTGAATGTTGAGAGTGGGCTTCAGGGACAGCGTCAAGGGAACGTTACAGGACACATTTCATTCAGTTTCATAGCTCAGGATGAGTTAAAAGTGAAAAAATAGCACCACAAATTGCTGAACCGAGCCTAAAGTACAACTCTAATGGAAGTTTTGCACCGATTGATGCAGTAAGTAGCACCAAATACCCTCAGGACAGAGATGTGTATAGTTTTCTAACATGTACCCATATATTGTAAGTTAAATCTGCAGTCAGTATTACTTCGCATCTACGACATCTGCTACAGCATTCATTTGTCGAGGTCAAAAGTCATCACACTCCGACTTTTAATTACTGGGGACTGAGGACAAAAAATGACAACAGAACAACTAGAAACAAACTTTCAAACTGATAACATTACAAATGAAAAATACTGATTGGAATATGCGAATAACTTTACCATTTTGATTTTGAGTGTCATGTTTACTTTAGGTCATTTTTAAATATTCTGTGTCTTCGGGCGAACTTCACAAATTTACTACCGACTGTGCTGAACCTGTGTGAGTGCTGATCGGAAAGGAAGGGGAGCGGAGAATTGTCAGGGGTACAGGTAGGCCAACCCGCCAAACAGCGGTGAGGAGCCAGCGGCCCGCCCTCTCCCTGCGCTGTAGCACGCTGCACCCAACCCACCTCTTGTAGGCTGAGTGAGGACTTTCTCGGCTTGCAATGCCCGGTAATACCCTGTAATACCGTGTAATACCTGGTAATACTCTGTAATACCCGGTAATACCTTGTAACTAGCCATATGTACGCCAGACCACGTCTTGCGTAACAGGCTTCGCGATATCTCACGAAACACTGTTACGCTGCGACGCGCCTGGCGCACATATAGCTAGGCCTGCGGCGCTGACACCCGAGACGAGCAAATGGGAGGGTGTAGGCGAACAGGGCATTCCGGGCCCAAAATTTGACATACTCGAGCCATTTGTCGGGGTCTTATTACTCTAAAATTAGGGACATAAAACTTGTGCTGTTCGATATTAGTTTTCATTAAAAGTTCAAATTTTGACAGATTATGTAAAAATTTACGTTTTAGTGATACTAGATAATCTAGGGCCCCTTAAGCCCAAAAGAGGGTGTGGTTCGACCCTTAATGTGTGGTTTAAGTATCACTCCGTTTACAATTCTGTGACATGAAGCCTTTTTAACGATTTAATAGACCATTTTGTCTTTTTCACGTTGTTTTCGCCAAGAAATGACCCATAGCGCCACAACAGTACAAGATAGAGCAAAACGGACGAAATTTTCGCCCAACGGGTTTTACTTTTACGAGTTACCTCTAAGGAGCCCATATAAAAATATTTGAAAAAAATATATATATTTTGCAACCTTTGGCCTCTGATTTTTTAAAAAGTCATTTTTTGAGCTAGAATGCTCATCTTCGAACTCGATCTGTCTTTTTATGATACAAAACGACCCTGAAATTCCTCGATCGCTCTCTCAATTCGTTCTCCAGTTATCGTGCGGACAGACAGACAAACAAACAGGATGAAACTTTTCCGGTCAGTGGAGTTATGGGCTTCGCTAATCGCTCAGCCAACAAACTTTCACTGCTGTACAGAGAAGTTCGTGAAACTAAACTAATTGTCAGTAACGGACTGATAGTGTAATGGCCTGCAGTGGGCCTTACGCCCTTCGAGGAGGTTTTCACTCAGAATATACGTGTACTGAATAATCCGTATTACATGCAAAGTGTACAATTTTAAGGCCAATTTTCATACTTTTCGGTAGTACAAAATTATTCGTAATACCATGTAATACCCAGTTTGGGTGTACAGGTCATTACCGTCAAAGTGTCATATTCCGGACAAATTTGACCGTTTTTCCTCAACATTTCTAAAACCGGTAGGGGTATGACTAGCTATATGTACGCCAGACCATGTCTCGCGTAACAGGCTTCGCGATATCTCACGAAACACTGTTACGCTGTGACGCGCCTGGCGCACGTATAGCTAGGCCTGCGGCGCTGACACCCGAGACGGGGTAATAGGAGTGTATGTACAAGTTTTCGAAATGAAATCTTTTTACTGATTTAATCGACCATTTGATCATTTTCGGCTCATTTTTGTCAAGAAATACCCCCTAGCACCTAAACGGTACAAGATAGAGCCAAACGGACGGAATTTTTCCCCAAAGGCCTCTACTTTGACAAGTTACCCCCTAGGAACCCATTAAAAAAAATTGGATAAAAAAACATTTTGCGACCTGTAGTTTTTGATTTTTTAAAAAGCCAATTTTTGAGCTACAATGCTCATCTTCGAACTCGATCTGTCTTTTTATGGTACAAAACGACCCCTAAATTCTCAGATAGCTATCTCAATAAAGCATTCCGGCAAAGCTGAAATGCAGAAGAATGCAGGGAACAAGAAAACGGAAGTCCCATGTAAAAGCATGATGATCTCCGTTTTCTTCTTCCTCACATTCTCCTGCAGTTTTGCTTTACCGGAATGCTTTATTCCTTCTCGAGTTATCGTGCGGACAGACAGACATACAAACAGACAAACAGACAAACAGAATGAAACTTTTCGGGTCAGTGGAGTTATGGGCTTCGCTTATCGCTCAGCCAAAAAATTCCAGCGGATTCTAGAAACTATTCGCCAAGATACATATTTTCCATCTGGAGAGGAAATTTTCTTTGAGCCAGTTCACCTGCACAAGCCCCTGAAACCCCTTTAAACCCGAAGTCGGGGCAGTTCCGGACAGTCCCTAGTTATGCTATTAAATGGCTGTAGAACAGGTCGATATGCCAATACTGCACTGCAGGTGCGTGCCAGTACACACCAACTTAACCCATAACTGCGGAACCAGAGTGATATTGAAATTTTCGAGGCAAAATTTGGCCCATTTCAGAAGTCAGAAACTTTTGCAAAAGTCAGTGCTATTTTAGTAGAAGGACATTGGTTTCGCAAAATACGCCATAAGAATGTGTACAACAATCTTTACCTCACAGGACTTTGTCAAAATTGAAAATTTAGTGCATTTTTAACTAAGATTGGTAAGTGAGAGATCGAGTGAAATACCACACGAGGGGGTATTCACTTCCGTAATACCCTGTACACTCCACCTCGGTATTACTTGTAATGTAATACCGAAAAATAACAAAAATGCTATAAATTGCCAAATTTTGCGTGTAATACCGGCGTAATACCCGGTAATACCAGGTAATTCTGTGTAATACCGAGTACTCTGTACAAGTTTTGTGGTAGTGAATACCCCCTCGATACCACACAGTCAATATTACGCGCGAAAGTCCGCAGGATATAAAAAAATTTCGACTCCAGCGTCGTGACGTTAAAGCTGTATGAAGTGACCGTGGCTTAGCATTGGGTGCTATGCCGCACACGCATTGAAGTACCGCTTCACAGTGTATGTACTGGTCGGGTCCTATTATTCAAGTTGCACTTCCCTGGGCGGCTCTAAGATGTGAAACTGCTAATTATTTAAATCTCCAGAGCCTTTCGGAAAAGTATCTATCTAAATTATGAACCTACATTGTGTAATTTGCTGTAAAAATGCCTAAAAGCAGTGTCCGGATTCACCCTGTTGGTCCGGAATTAGACACTTTGACGGTACGCGAGGGAAACCTCCCCCCCTCAGCGCCCCACTTTCGCAATTACAGATTTTTCTAACTGTGGAGGCTTGCCGATGCGATGCGATCCCAACACAGTGGCCATACATAACACATCTCAGCCGGACTGGGTGGGGCTGCTCCGGCCCCCACCTCCGCTCAGCCGCGCGTGGTCCGGGGGCCCCGCCCGTGACCTTGCTCTTTCAGTGTCGACGGAGACCGGGACGCAAGCAGACGCACTTTGCCAGGCCGAGAGGAAGGTAGGTTTTCAACAGAGCAACGCGAGATCCGTTCGGGAACCGACACGTCACGAGCCAACCCGTGTAGATAAACGCACCCGGAGAAGATGGAAAGAAGTGACAAAGAGGAGCCACAAACACTAACACATTTGTCTTCATTAGGCGTCACGCTTCTGTAAATATTCACTGCAAACGCAACACTGTACTTAGTACACACAACAAAGAGAGTACCTGCCATAGTACACACAACGAAGGGTGCTCACTTTCAGCGACCGTTTCGAAAGTGCTTATCTCTGGCGACCGTCCGGAAAAACCGCTGTTCGGAAAACCGCTTAAATGACATTTTTACACATTTCGAGTTATCGGTATCATTAAAATCAGCGTTATGGAGAGAACATTTTGATACTTATATGCCGAAGTCTGTAAAAAAGGCATTGACGCGCTTTTCCAAACAGTCTGCCGAGTTGGGCGGTCTTCCAGACGGTCGCCAGAGGTAACCGGTTTTCTACACACTGTCAGTCCTGTACTGATTTATTTCTTAATATATGTACGTAGGGTTTTATGCAGCAGGAATTTCTGTCTAATTTGATGCTTACTGTGCATTTTTTTGTAAGTAACTCATTGATAACAGAAAAAAAATCTCTGTTGTTAAAAAACGAAATTTTTCGTTATAGTGCTAAATAATTTGTCGGTTGCCACTGGTAAAACAAATTTAAGGGGTGTTGATACTGAAGCAAAGTTAAGAAGGAAAATTTAGAGCGACTGAACCTATTTCGGATCAGATTTTTGTATTACCGCCATACCAAAGCACACACATTGCGTAGGAAGGCACCAAAAGGTTAGGTTCCTTTATAGACAGCAATGTTTTTGGCGTCCATATCTGCACTCGTTTTTGAGTTATGGCAGTTTGAGTATGGACGTGATATTGATCCGAAATAGGGAAATATGAACCTATTTCGGATCAGCTTTCGATCAAGATGGCGATTTTGCCATCTTGTAGCCTGACAGTAGTGCGCCCTAGAAGCAGTCAAGATTTTGGTCCCCAGTCCACGGGGTCTGTGACGTATTGCCTGAAACGAAATAGGCATGTGCGGATCAAATAAAACAAATAATTAAGAAACCAAGCGGCAACACACTCGGCAGTAGTTTTTTAAGAATAAGTGAAAAAGACGAGTACACGTCATATTCTTCACCAGCTGGAATGCCTATTGCGAGAGATCGAGATTATGTAGGGGTATTTATGAGTAAATCGACATAAAATGCAGTGAAACTGGCCAATATGGTCCTGGACTGCCTGGATGGCCAAATATGGATCCTAAAGCAACCCTTGAAATATACTGTGACAAAACAAAGTAATAGTGAGCACCAAAACAGTTTCGACCTTCATTAAATCGAAGCTGCCCGCAGAACTCGACTTAAGAAGTTGTCACTTTTGACCTCCACCCGCGTTTTAACCTGACATGATATTAGATCGAATCCACGTTTGAAACTTGTTCTCTGGGCCTTCAACTGAAGATTGACCTGGGTTGACCCGATATTATGCGTACATACCAAGTAATGTTGATTTCAGCAAACGACAACACTCTCCCTCTGTAGTGAAAGCAAAAATTGTTGTGATGCCATCCTGGAGACCTCACCGCACCGCCGCGAACACGTGGTGCGCTCGCGGATGCCCGGGGCGCCGCTGTCACACCCGCACGAGCTCAGCCGCGAACACGCGTCACACTCACAACTAAAAATATTACTACACTAGGACGAGGAGATGGGAGACTGCGCCCCATCCCCTAAACCACCCCCGGACCCGCCTTGTGACCCGGTGGCTGCCACCGTCACTCTGCCGTTAACCCCATCCTCAAACGACAACCCACACGACAGCTGAAAAGAAAGCACACGCTGTAAACATTGTGATCACTTCCTAACGTTCCACGCACGTGCGCGAAATGACTAAAATTCAACAGAAGCAAAACAGAAAACTCGAGGAATAGACCACTGGCATTTCTAGTTTCAAAAATTTAAATAACTCTACAGTAAAAGATTCTAATGTCCTACCGACTGCGCCATTTGTAGAGAAAGTAAAAATTGTTGTGATGTTGTTGGTACTCAAAATGTGGCCGGAATGACTTTTGTTTGATGTTACTTAAGAAAGGCGAGGCGGGAGCAAAAATGCCTCGCTGAATGAATAGTTTGCCTCACTTCTACTTTAGAACAATTTGACATCAGAATCGACTGCTGAAAACGGGCTTTCGTGCGTGAAATATCAGGATCAGACAAGGGGATAACAGTTTTAAAATACAAATATATTATTTAATAAAATACTTACATTACAGACAGCAGCAGCCACTCGAGTCCAGGCCAGGTCCTAGGGGTGTCTTGTTCGTGTACTAACTTCTTCTTGCTTGCTTATAACTTGACTCTACTAACCCAGGCCCAAATTTCCATGGCCGTCCCGTTGGGGTCCCATGGACACCATAGGCAAAGTCTCATGGGTATTGGAAGGTTATGGAAAATTTGTTTTACCCCATGTGAGCTGCAGCATTTCTCATGGTGAGTCCTCCCCGCACCTTGGTAAAACAGTGTTCTCATGGGGTAACTGGTCCCATGCTATCTTCCCATGGGACGTATCTTCTTTCTGTATCGACCTCAAATTTACAGTGTATCATCTACGATGAACTAATCCGTTTTAAATGTCTTCAGATAGCGACGAGTATCGGATTGCGAATACCTGAGCAAACGAACTAGCTACTAGCTCAGCTTTCACCAAAGGCAGCTAATTATTGGATCGCATAGTTACATTTTCGCATGCCTGAGGCTAATGTGATTACCGATCACGAAATGAATCAGCTAGTCCGTTAGCACTGACTGCAGACCCATTGTCTTTTGCGTGTTGGTGCTGGTCGTGCCTAGAGATGGGCGAACAGGCGAGTTCGGATTTGGACGAACTCGAACAAATTTGGTTTCAAAATCTTCGAACGAACACGAGCAACTATTTTCTTTCTGCGAACGAACCGAACTGAACAATGTAGTGTTCAAATTCGATCCAAACACGAAAAATTATTACCATTAAAAATTTAAAAAAATTGGCATCTGCGTTACAAAATCTTTTGGTTCTCAATAGTTCCATTAGCCTTTGATATTTTAGATAATTAATAAACTGCCATTGCCCCCGGAATAAAGCATTCGGGTAAAGCTGAAATGCAGAAAAATGCGGGGAAGAAGGAAACGGAAATCCCTCGGTAAATCCGTATGCTTTAGCACAGTGACTTCCGTTTTCTTGTTCTCTTCATTCTTGTCCATCTCAGCTTTACCGGAATGCTTTATTATACCCATTTGAGGTGAATTTCTGAAACATATTTTAATTCTGTTCCCCGACGAACTTCTGTTCCGTCAAGGAACGGTTTGTGAAAACAGACTATAAAATATTTCCATATCCCATCTGAACCGGCTGTCGTTGAACCTAATTCACATTTTACGCATAAATTGTCGTGTCGCCTATATTGCCTGATTTCAGGCGCGCAGGAGCAATTCGCCTACTAACCACGTACTCGTGTTTTCAATGTATTCCTTGTCGTAATTTCAGTGGCTTTAAGTACAGGACATGAAGTGGTTGTAGAGTGACGCATTTCAAACTAAAGAGTAGCGAAAAAGTTGTGCAAGACCTAAGTCTTGTGTTTCTCAAACATACAAAAAGTGCTGTTTTTTTACTGTTTTACTCGTTGTGTTACTCGTTGTTTTCTCGAGCTCAAAAAACTTGTAGTTTTAACTGTATAGAGTGCTGGCTAGCCCGGTGTGTATTTCTGTCTTTGTCTCACTCATTAGGGTGCCATACGGAGCGAGAGAGAAAGACATACAGGGGCCGTAAAGGGGCACTATGTTCTTTATGGCAGAAAGCAAAGACAAAGAGAGTGATTTTTTACTCGTTCTATACCATCCCACTTCACCTTCGTGGTGGTAGGAAGAACGAGTATTGTTCTCAGTGCGGTGTCACGCTTTTCCTGTTCCTGTTTTTATCTCAGAACACACAACACCTACAGACATGACAATAGTACCACTGTAGAGCGGGGACGCTGGTCTCAATTAAAGCAACGAACCTTTTTTCAGGTTTAATAGCATAATTTTGAGCACTCTTAACAAATTTAGCGTGTTTTCATTCTAAGTCCCAGACCAGAGCTTATTTGAGCATGTTGAAAAACGTAGTGCTAAGCAACGAAAATGTATCATGCATGCATCTTTGAACTTATGAGATGTTAATGAAACTGTTTTATTAATATGTTTTGAGTCGATACCGAAGCATTTTAACGAGTTTACTTAATAGATTGCTCCTAAAAAATTGCAAGTCCCGTGACGGTGGAGGAGTACGTGAGGTTATGGCGGTGCCATCCGTGCTGCCACCTGTGGACGGACATAGTAACTACTTCACAGTGAGCGCACTTCACCCTTATTACTCTGAGATAAAAGCACTAACTGACTTTGAAGAATTACCCTGGTTTGGTTAAAGAACGAGTTTCCTACTTAGCACAAAATTTATTTTGTGTTCATAGTTTCCCTTGTTTTATTAACACGTGGTTTTGTTAGAGTCAATGTTGGGCCGTCGAGCAAGACATCACACTCTTCAGTAAAATAACACATACGACTGCTCTTTGTTAAGTTCTCGTATGGTTGAAACATTTACCTGAAAAGTCATAAGAAGTTCATCGATTAAAACGGTCCAAGATAAAATTAAAATGTTGTTGTGACTATATGTATAATCTTACCTCAGCATCATTAAAATTCAAAAACTTTCCACTAATTTTAAAAGTGGCTGTATAATGCCCACCTGACTCCAAAGATTTGTAGTTCACTGACCCCAGTAGGGTATACGAATTGTTTTGCACTTTAATGTTCAGGGTTTGACGGACAATGTTTGTCAAAGTTTGGCCACTTTCTCCGAATCTATAATATGGAGTGTGTTCATTAGGCCAAGTAAGTAATACCCCCGATTATCACCCGAAAA